GATAGATGAATATCAATAATGATTGAATAATATTATTTTCTTGTTATAAACTTGTGTAATGGTGAAATTATATTTATTAATTAAATTTGAATAGTATATATATAAATAAATTTTAAATTTATAATATTTCATAAAGAATATATTATGACAAAAAATAAAATTGTAGATTAAAATTAAAAGTCAAATATTAAATATATATATATATATACTATCATATCAAATACAATGGCAATAGCAGGAACAACAAATATAATAATAATAATAACTCAAACACACTATCCGATTCATTACACATTATTTTTGTTAAAATAATAATTTATTATTGGCTTCAACAATTTATGTTTTCAAAACTTATTCAGATACACATCTTACCGAATAAGTGAATGATTTTTGGCTGAATCAATCAGAGGTAAAATATTCAGTTCAGAGATTCAACCCAAACACACTGAATGAGGTCATGCTTACCGAATAAGAGGAAATTGCTCATTCAGAGGACATTCAGTGGTAATCAAACAGGGCCGTAGTGTGATTAAGTTTTCCTCCATATAATTAAGAGTGACTCTATATTTGCACCTACAAATTATCATAATTCATCATCAAATTTACATAAAATATCATAAACACTCTTTTAATCTTTAATCCATCGCCTTCCCTTATATTCGTTTAATCCTCCTTTATTAATAAGATTTTTCTCTTTTTTTTTTTCTTCAATGAAACCTAAAAGGTAAAACAAGATTCTAATAATCGTCTAATTTGAAACAAGATTCTAATAATTGTCTTTTTTTTTTTTTTTTTAATCCACAAAAAATAACAATATCAAAAATATCTGGTTTTTTTTCTACAAGATCTCTCTTACTTTATTTTTTCGCGGACAAATGTATCGTTCACTTAAGGTGGAGAGGGTGGGATATGTAGCAAAGATTCTTCTGAAAATGGTAGAGTTTGTGAATATTCAAATTAGTTTGGTGGTGGACAATTTATGAATTTATACAGAATATGGATAAAAAAAAAAGGGTAAATATGAAATAAATTTAATTTGGTGGTGAAATAAGATATTTGAAGAATGAAAATTACGTCTCTTTTTTTTCTTGGTAATGAAGGAAACTCGCAGCCAACCATATAGGTGCACTGGGTAAACCTACACTATCGTATAATAGCTTATAAATCATAGCAAAGAGATAGACCACACTAGGCTAAGAAGCTCCAACTAGCGACCATTGGTAAGTGAATTCGAATCTGAGTCAATTGACACATGATCACTTGCTCCAACCGCTAAATCATCCCTTGGAGGACAAATAACACATCTCTTAATAATGTAGGAGGAGGTTTTCTCAAACCGCCTCTAAATGACCCCCAAAACAATTATTTATATATATATTAAATTAATGGGGCATGCTAAATCCCACACTAAAATTTACTAAATCTCAGACATAAATTAAAAAAAAATATTCTCTCTCTACTCAAATTCTCTGTAACTTCTCTCTAAATTGATTTTATCCAACTCACTCAAAATTCATTAATTTTTTACGTGAATAATCATAAAAAACGAGTTCCGTTTTATTTAATATTTATTCAATTTCATTAAGTCTTTTTAAATATTCAAATTCATATCGATTTGAATATTTTTCTCAAATTTTAACTTTATCTTGGTTTGAACATGTGAATTTTTTTGTCAAATTCTAACTTGGAATGCTAGGGATGTTTTCAGTGTGTGATTTTGTGAAAAAAAAATTAGGGAAAAAGAAGAAGGGAGAGAAAGGAGAAGAAAAAAATTTGGAGAGAATTTTTTTTAATTATGTACATGATTTGATAAAAGTAGTATGAGATTTAGCATTTCAGTAAATTAATATAGGGATTATTTCACAAAAGTCCTTCATTAGACAAGTCCAGTTACATTAGGTCCAAAAAAAATTCTCAATTTTAAGATAAATCCAAAACGTCATTTATTAATTTAAAAAGGTTAAGTTTCACCATTATACCCTTTAATTATTTATGAAACCCTAATTTTATTACGTACAATAATCACCGCCTCTTACTAAAAAATAAAAAATAAAAATCAGACCCTCTTATTCGTCACCTTACCGACCACCACCACCACCATATACACCACGCTCCGAGCAACTCTACCTTCTTCCACCGCTGCCGCGCCGCCGCCGGAGAGGAATGTCTCCGCCGCTGAGATGGTAGCAGAGTGGTGGTCGGGAGGCACGAGATTCTGATTCGACCGTGGCTGCATCCGGATCCGGCGGAGGAAAAAAGAAAAAAAAAACTAGAATGGTGTCGTGGAATTCAGTTAATCTGAAGATGATTTACAATGTTTTGGGATGGATAGCTTTTGTGTGTTGGTCCATCAATTTTCACACGCAAGTTGTATTGAATTTCAGGAGGAAAAGGTTAATTTTCACTCTTTAATTTCTTCATTTCATTTATTGATGATTTACAATATTATTCTGTGGGGTTTGGGTTTTGAATTGATTTGAATTTTGGGGTGCAGTGTGGCGGGGCTGAATTTGGACTATGCAGTGTTGGGGTTTGTGAAGCAATTGGCTTATTTGGCCAATCACAATCGTGTCCGTCGGATTACGAAAGTCATCCACTTCGTCGTAAATGCTTCCAGTACCAACTCCGAAAGTTTGCGGTCCAACATCTCCTGGAACTTCAAATTCTACTGTCCCGCCATTTTTCACGGTAGCTATTCTGTTCAACAATGTTAATTGCAGTGTTTTAAATACTTCACGATATCCCATCTATTATTCTGATTAAAAATCTCAGAAGCAGTTTTTTTAATTCTTCGAAATCTCGAAGAGTAGACATCAAAGGAAATTCTCTAAACATATTTTCCGGAAAATCTACATAACAACTGCCTTAGGTTTCGTAATCCGACAAATAACAATAAATTCTCCGATAAATTTTCCGGATGTCATGGACTTGCTACGAAGACGTAATCCAACAATTCTGCAGAGCATGAACAATTGATTACACTCACTGAAAGGGGATATTTATTTACCTTCTGCTGAACAGAAATTTGATCATCGAAAATCTGAGCAGCATCTTCGGCGAGTATGTCGTCGTGTTTTTGTGTCGTCTCGGTCTTGGATCGTTCCAACACAACACAATTGTGAAGCAATTGGCTAATGATGGGAAAGGTGGAGTGGTTTTTAATAATTATTTACAGAATTTTATAGTCTTTTTCAATAATTATGTACATATTTTTATAGTGGTTTTCGATATTTTACATAAACCATTATAAAAACCTGTACAAAAATTATAGTGGTTTTCAATAATTTTTGTACAGATTTTTATATAACTCTATATACAGAGTGGTTTTTATGTTGACATAGTTGTTATACAGAATGGTTTTCAAGTTTATATCGTTGTTATACATAGTGGTTTTCATGTTATATAGTTGTTATACATAGTGGTTTTCATGTTTATATAGCTGTTTATACAGAGTGGTTTTCATATTTATATAAAGTGGTTTTTATTTAAACAAAATGGAAGAAAAAAAACCATTTAAAAAAAAAATCGAAATTAAGAAAAAAGAAAAACCATGAAAAAATGAATATAAAAATAAAACCATTTTTTTAAATTAAAATAAAAAACATGAAAAATATAAATAAGAAAAAATAAATTTAAAATAAAAAAAACCGAAAAAAATAATAATTACAAAATTTTCTTTTAAATCGAAATAAAAAAAAAAACTATTAAACAAAACAAAAAAGAAAAGGAAAATAACTGAATTGGCGTGATGAGGGGAATAATTTTTGGAGAAGATTTTGGTGTAGATTATGGGTATAATTTTTTTAAATTAAATAATTATACTAATTAATAATTAGTGGGGGCATATATGGTTTTTCAGGCCCATTGAATTTATCTTAAATATCATTTATAAATAAAAAATTTATTAAGAATTAAAATCCCAATGAAGGGTGTTTGGCATATAGCCCCATTAATATATTCAAGGCACACCCTTGACCCTATAGTACCCTAAAAACCTACAAAGGTCCGCATGAAACGTCAATTGACATTGGAGAGAATTGTCTTAGACAATATGATTTGTTTGTCCAATTTTCCAAACTAAAAGGCTGATTAAATGAACAATCAGATCTTCTAAACCTTAATTTTTTTTTTTTTTAAAAGTACTAGACCATAATTTTGAATCCAGATTTAATTTTGACTGAGTTATATCATAAATAAATATGTTTGACCTACATAATTAGTTAGTCCAATAATTTGTCAAAAATAGAGGATCAATTAAGTGAATGATATATCATATCATTCAACTAAATCTCAATCCCAATGCAATATGACTGAATTATATCATAAATAAATATGTTGACCAACATATATAATTGGTTAGTCCAAAACTCAAATCGCCAAAACGATGAATTAATTCAATGAATCATATAATACCATCTAATTAGTAATCTTCAATCGAATTTCAATATGAGTGAATTTATATCATTAATAAATATTTAAGTTAGTACCAGTTGCCAAATTAAATTAATTAAGTGAATCTTATCACACACCTAACTCTAAATAATCTCAACCAACTTACTTCAACACATTCAAATATTCTCCGAATTTAGAATCCTATAGTAACAAGACCTCAATTAGGAGATTCATCCCTCTCATCAAAGCCAAAAATTACTCTACTATAAATTAGGTATTACCCCAAGAAGTTTTACCATATCCCAATTGGAAAAACAAAAACAAAAAATCATTTGTGTGAAGTAGCAATTATGTCAAAGTTGCTTCTGTTAGCGTTTGTTTTATCTTGTGTTGTTCAAGTGCACAATGTTGTCTCGGCAGACTATGGGGATGCATTGTCTAAATCTTTGTTGTTCTTTGAAGCACAAAGATCGGGGTTGTTGCCTTCCGACCAGAGGGTCCAATGGCGAGGAAATTCCGGCATTAGGGATGGCAAAAGTGTCAATGTATATCTTATATCCATTTCCGAGTTATCAATATATAAATTAATAATGCAATCAAATACAATATATATCACATTAGTTATTTTTGTTATAATTTGGATGCATGAATGGTATTTGTGGGGATTCAATTCAGGTTAACCTAGTGGGAGGATACTACGACGCGGGAGACAACGTGAAATTTGGATTACCAATGGCGTATTCGGTGACGATGCTTGCATGGAGTGTGGTGGAATTCGGGAATAATTTGAAGGCGAGAAATGAGTATTGGAACGCACTGAAAGCCGTAAAATGGGGAACAGACTATCTGATGAAGGCCCACTCGGATCCAGATGTGTTGTACGGTGAAGTTGGAGATGGAGCGTCGGATCATGCTTGCTGGCAGAGGCCTGAAGATATGACTACGCCCAGGGATGCTTACAGGATTGATGATCAGCATCCTGGATCTGATATTGCCGGTGAAACTGCCGCCGCTCTCGCTGCTGCCTCCATTGCTTTCAGTAGCTCCAACGCCTCTTATTCTTTTCAGCTTATCAGACACTCTCTCTCTCTCTCTCTCTCTCTCTCTCTCTCTCTCTCTCTCTCTCTCTCTCTCTCTCTCTCTCTCTCTCTCTCTCTACTAACTGCAATTCCAAACTTCATTGCAGTTATTTGACTTTGCCAGAACACACCAAGGTGTGTACCAAAACAGCATTCCAGTTGCCGGACAATTCTATCAAGCAGTGGGTATCAGGTAATTATTATTTGTACACATAATATTGCACCAATATATATATATATATATATATATATATATATATATATATATATATATATATATATATATATATATATATATATATATATATATGATGTAATTTAAATACTTCGATGAAATATAACAAAAGCAATTTATTAATATGGAACAAACATTTCTGCAAATTAATTAATTAGGACGAACTTTTGTGGGCGGCTGCGTGGCTACAAAGAGCCACCAACAACCAGAGGTACGCGGACTTCATAAACCAGTCATCTAACACCGGCGGCACCAGAGGCATGTTTTCATGGGACGACAAATACGTCGGCGCCCAACTACTTGTCGCAAAGGTATACGTACTATATGATCATTATTAATTAACCATAATGCATATATAAATAATCTTAATTTTTAAACTATATTCAAGAATTGTGTTATAGATTATTTTTCAATGAAATTTATTTCCTTTTAGGGTATCCTAGAAAGGAGGTTTCCCGCAAGTGGAAACATGGGGCAGATGAAAAACTCCGCAGAACAATTCATTTGCAACTGCATTCAAAAAGGAAATGGCAATTTTCAGAAGACTAAAGGTGGGCTTCTCTGGTTTCTTCCATGGAGCAATCTTCAATACGTAAACAGCGCTTCATTCATCATGTCGGCCTACGCCGACTACCTATCCAAAGCAAGAGCCACTCTTCGATGCGCCGGGGGTGCGGTTGGACCGAACGACTTGATCTCTTTCGCAAGATCTCAGGTGGATTACATATTGGGTAACAACCCGAAGAGACTGAGTTACATGGTCGGATTCGGGTCGAACTATCCGAAACGTGTTCACCACAGAGGGGCATCAATTGTGTCTATAAAGAAAGACCGGACGCGAGTGGGCTGCCAGGATGGTTTTAACAACTGGTACAATAGGAACGCGGATAACCCGAATGTGATTACCGGGGCAATTGTCGGTGGGCCGGATCAGAGTGACCAATACACGGACGCTAGAAATAATTACCAGCAGGCTGAGCCTTCTACCGCTAATAACGCACCTCTTGTTGGGGTTTTGGCTAGGCTTTCAGCTTGATCCCAATATTTTGTAATTGTTTTTTACACAAAATACTGAAATAGGTCTTATCAAATATGAATAGCAGCTCAGTATGTAATGTGTTGTAGCTGTGCTGAATAAACTATTATTCAATAAAATAAAAGGGTTAATTACAGTCTAAATTAGAGTCGCATCCCTTTTACAATTACGTTGACCTTCCTCTTCATTACCAAAAAATATTTCTACGATAAAGTTTATCTAAGAAACACTTGGGTAACCCTTTTTTTGATGAGAACACTTGGGTAACCTACGAAATTCTAACGTCGTATTAAAAAAAAAGTTTAAATTCATTATTATTATATTATTATCTCTTTTTCATCTTTTATTTTCCATTTTTTTTCCAATGAGTTTCATAGCAAATTAGATTTGTAAATCAACTAAGAAAATCTTGATCCACTCCGATAATTCCAATTTTGTTCTTTTTAAGTTTTGAATTTTCTTTGTAAACAATTTATTTTATAGTTAATATACATTTGAAATGTTAATTATTTCTAACGAATAACAATTAAATATGATTAATATATATTTTTTTATTTAGTATATGCTTTTTATTGAAATTTGTATGATCATAATTTCATAACTAATTATTTTAATATTATGTTAAAAACATTCATTGCAATTTCATTACTATGTATTTAAATTTTTTTCATTTTTGCAATGCTACCTCGTGGTCCATACATGTCACGGGAGAATTGCTAGTTTATACTTATATATTACATAATTTAAACTATAATATCAATTTTCTGCATAAACCAATACATATTATTATTCAAATTTAAATAATTAAAAATATCATATTTTCAAACTTGAAATAAGAAGGAATCAAATAAAATATATTTTACCTACCATAAACACCCCAACTACCACTGAGTCCCTGACCAACCCACGTACGCATTTCTTGTGTATTGGCAAAATTGCTCCTCCATTTTATGTGCGAGTTGTACGTGTATCACAATTTAGGGAACAATTTTGCTAAAAATAGACTTTTTAATTGTCGCTGTAACAATTTAGTAATTTTAGGTATACAAGTATAACTATTTTCTGGTGGGTAAATTGCAAAGACGTTCGCAGTTCAAAGAATTAAATTAGGTATTATCCCAATTAAAAAAAGAAAAAATAATCATTTGTGTGAACTACCAATTATGTCTAATTCTTTTATGTTAGCCTTTGTTTTTTCTTGTGTTGTTCAAGTTCACAATGTTGTCTCCACAGGCTATGGGGATGCATTGTATAAATATTTGTTGTTCTATGAAGCAGAAAGATCAAGGTTGTTGATCCGGGCTATTTTGCCTAGGTCCGAAAGGCCCACCAACCAGCCTTATTTTTCTCTTCAGCCCAAGCCCACCAACCACATGTTTTGGGGCCTAACAAAATCGGGGAAGAACACGAGGCAGTGGGAGGAGAAGAAAGAAGAACATAGAGAGATAGGAAAAATACACACAAAAGACTAAACATATTTCTATGATGGCCAACGAACCCCCATCAGATGTTGTCTTTCGATCGGGTCCAATAGCTAGGAAATTCCGGCAACATGGATGGCAAAATAATTCAATAACATAAAAAAAATATATATATGCAATACGACTCTGTTAAATAAAAAATTAGGAGTTTGCTACTATCAGTGCGATTTTTTCTAGTGCAAAACAATTCTTTTTTTTTTTTTTTCCAAATCCTCTCTCAAACACACTTACCCTTTAAATTTTCAAACTTTGCAAATCCTATATTTTTCTAACAATATGAGTTTGAGCACAACAATTATCTACATGGATGAAAACAACTTCAGTTTTGAGGAGAAAATATATGTTTTTTGTTCATTCCCAACAGTTTTAAGCATTTCGTGTTTTCTCCTACGAAATTTACTCTTTAACTTCGTGTACTACAACACGAAATCATCTTAATATCATTTTTTTGTTTGTTTCGTGCGTTTGGTCACCAAACCTTACCTTTAATTTCGTTTTATGTTCATTTCGTGTAAAAACTTACGAAATGGAAGGTAAAATTTCGTAAGATTGATTATATACGAAATTGTACCTTTAATTTCGTGTAATGTCTTACGAAATCCTTTAAATAGTGTCTTTTAATTTTAATATTTATGCAGGAACTAAGAGAAGAATCTCACGATCATATTCACTACTTTGAACGTTGTATTGTGTTTGATAGTATAGAAGCGTTAACTATGTGGGCGAAAGACACAACAATTAGTCATAATCATCAACTGATTAATCATTGTAAAACAGAGACATTTCATGTTTTGACGTGTGTAAGATACCAATCTGGAAGACGCGGACTATTGAAGAAACGTTCTCGTCCGTTCAACTTAATTAGCAAAAAATCAATGGATGATGGATTATAGCGATTGACTGTGAGTGATGGCAATGGTAACCATCAGCCTTATTTGAATGTTTAACTTATGTTTTGGAATGTTTAAATTTGTAGTGTTGTATTTTGCATTTTAATGTTTAACTTATGTTTTTGGAATGATTAAATTTGCAATGTTGTTGTTGTTGTTTTTTTTTTTTTTTAACGTTTAAGTTATGTTTTGGAATGCTTAAATTTGTACTGTTGTTTTTTTTTTAATGTTTAAGTTATGTTAATAAATGTTTAAATTTTCATTTTAATTGTTAAACTTGTACGTAGTTGCTAAATTCATGAAATTAGTCACTTATAATACATACGAAAATCATAAAACTAGTAAAATAAAATACAAAATAAACTAGTAAATTAAATAGTTCCTAATAATAATGAAACAAAATTAGTGAATTAAATAATTCCTAATAATGATTAAAAAAAAAAACCAAGTAAATTAAATAGTTCCTAGTAATAATAAAATAAAATAAACTAGTAAATTAAATAGTTCATAAAAATATATAATAAAAAAAAATCTCTAAACTATCGCCGCACTCTCCTCGACGGCTGCACCTCATGATGATGATGATCATCGTCGTCGTTGTCGTCCTGGTCGATGCCAATACATCGGGCGGCGGGCAACATAATATCTTCAAGGTCGGCAAGGAAATTGGCAAACTGCTGCATCTAGTCATGTCCAGTGCTCCTAGTGATCGGGTACAATGCACGTACTATCTTATAACATGTCGGCTGGATCTCGTGGCCTCATATTCTCTCGATGCGGTTCAAATGGGCCTATATCGGGGTTGGTGATCTTCAAATGAGATCGATTGGTGTACCAGTCTATGTAGTGCTCGCCGACTTCCCCCTATTATCGTGCCGTCTTGTAGTTGTTACTCCGAATGGAATGAGCCTCGACCATGTCCCACATGCCACCCGAAATTTGGTAGTTGACTTTGTACGATGCACCTCCTTCCGGATCGTATAAACATGGCCCCATCGATGAAATCTTGCCGCGCGGAATATACTGAACGGACCCGAACTATCGGACGCATCAATCAGGCATATACGGCTCTACGACCCACATCTACTGGATCATGCCATGATACAACGTACGAGGATCCTCTTGTGTATATTGTTGAGTGTAGATTTTACGCTCAAAACGTTTACTTTACATGTATCTTTTGTTTAGATTTAATTATATTTGTGCTTTAATTGATTGATTTTGTGCTTTATAGGTGAAAAACGAGAATTAGGTGTCAGTGAAAGAAAAATTATAAAAAAGAAAGGAAAAAAGTTGCAAATAAGGAAATAAATCAAATTGGAAGAAGGAATCTCGCCACAGCTTTGGCAGTGTCCACCATTTCAAGCATATCTCTCTCATACGAACTCCAAATCAGCTGATTTTGGCGGCATTGGAAAGATAATTTCATGGGCTACAATTCTTATTTATAAAACATTCCAATATTCGGACTCCAATATGACGAAAAGCGAACAACAAATCCTGATGGGGGAAAGTGGCGGAAATTGATTCTTTTAAGTTTCCACTACTTCCTTATCAAGAAAAGCCTATAAAAGCAACAAGTCTCTACACCATAAGCACGGAATTATACACCACAAAACGCGAGGAACGAAGATCAACGAAGACTCAAGCATAGTTTTTCTTTTTTAATTTATTTATTTTATTTATCATAAGAATCACGAGTAGCTAAATCTTTATTTCTAGGATTTTATTTGGAACTCTATGTAGGATTTATGAACCCAATTCTATGATTTTATGCAAGTTTTAATTCCGGATTATTTCTCCTACTTGTTTTATTAAGTGCATGAATTTGATCACCTTATGTGCTTTTATATTATTGTTAATTGCATGAATCGGAAGATCCGGTTAATAATTAGAACTGTGGTAGAAGAGCTTTTGTGGTATTAACATAAGAATATAGTTAATCTCTTAGGTAGCCATTATTGAGATGTGTGCTTAATGATGTGTTCTAGAATTAATTGCATAGGAATATAGTAATTGAATCTAGATTATTAGAATCCTAATACACGCGGAAGCGGGTTATGATTATTTTAGCATCTCAGGTTAATAATCCGGGTTAATTACTTGCATAATTGAAGAAATTGGGGAAGTATAATCACATAGGGGGAAGAATAAAATCCTAGGCTTGTTTACTCTGATTAAATCTTCGTTTTCAATTGCTTTCGTGCTATTGTCTTTTTAATTTGCCTTTTATTTTAGTTAATTCTCTCTAAAGTCGACTGTGTAGGGTGGGCTTGATAATAATTTGTAGAATTTAGCGTCTAGGATTAAATAATTAAATATTCCATGTGGGTTCGATATCCGTACTTTTAGTCCACTATATTACTTGTACGATACGTGCACTTGCGTGTAGGTATTATAACCAACAAGTTTTTGGCGCCGTTGCCGGGGAATATTTTAATTATTTATTTTATTCTAGCTCTAAATTTGAACAATTTTCACGATTCATCCAAATTAATTTTTATTTTTTCCATTTTAATTTAATTTTAATATTTTTTTTCTCTCTTTGGTTACATGTCAGGGTATAATTCATGTGCACCTCAAACGGGAAATGAATGGCTTCCGTCTGGCGAATACCTCCAAAACACCTGTGATATGCCATTATTTTGTTCAATATGTGGCGGAGATCATTACACTAACCAATGTTGGTATGCACCGAAGGCGAATAATTTCATAGAAAATACCAACAGAGGTTACTGGAACACATACTCCAACACGTACGAGCAGAGCATTCCAAACCAAGATTTCCACAATTTTCAACATCGAGAGCCGCAATTTGATGATTTTCAAACCTATTATGCAAGGCCACGAGAACCCACTATTGAGGAGTGTTATAGGAAATCCATCCTTGAAGATTTTATGAAATCCACTCAAGCATCTATCCGAAGACTGGAAATAATGTTTGAAGAGATCAAGTCCAAGATGTCTCTTAAAAATATTCCTGACGATATCGAGAATGGTTGCAACAAAGAAAATCCGTCTGAAACTTGTAGTGAGAAAAATCCTTTAGACCTAGAAAATAGTGTCGATGAGAGGGAAAAAGAAATTACGAAGACGCTTAAGGATGAT